CATCCGCTGCCCCCTGCCGGAAGCTGTTCTGTCTCCCTTCTCAGCTGAGCCAGTGTCCACACTTTCCTGCTCCCAGCCTCCTCGCCATGAAGGCTTGCCTTCCACACCATTTGGCAGACGTAACTGATTCACAGCACAATTTGTCTGTAAAGGAAGGTAGGAAACCTGACTCCTCTTCACAGGAAAGCCCAAGACCTGCACCTTGAGGGAGGTGAGGGAGTCACCCCCACCTGTTCTTCTGGACGCAGGTCCTTGTTGTTTTATCTGAAGAGCGTCACACGCTGTCCCCCACCCCATGTGCCAGACTCCCGTGTCTTGATGGATTTCCTCTCTGAAACATCCCCGTCTGCCTGGAGGCGCCTGCTCATCCTTGCGGCCCAGTAGAGACATCGTAGGTCATGGCGGTGCCTCCCGTGTCACCTCCTGTGAGATGCTGTGAAATGTCTTTGGTGTCACATGTTTGTAGTGTGTTTGCTTCCCTGTCTGCCCGCCTGTCTGGGCTTTGAACTCAGTCGGGGCTGGGGCTGTCTGTCGCTGACTCTGTCACAGTGAGCTTTCTGGAGTTGGCACACAGATTAGCCCATCCTGAGCATATACAGGAGTTTTGGTGACTGGATGTAGTCGTCTCCCAACCGTCACAATCGCTGTGTTGAACATTTCCGTTATCCCCCAGTTCCCAGTGAGTCTTTTCCTCCCACCCCAGGTCCCGAGTGAACACTGCTCACCTTTCTGGGACAGTAGCTGAGCCTGCTTTAGAATTTCCTGTCAGTGGAGTCGGGAGCAGGGGTCCACTCGTGTGGTCCGGGGGTGCCAGGCGCAGGCTTTGGCATTCAGGTGATAGTTCCATTGTAACACACACCAGTTTCTCACACTGGTGGGAATGTAGGTCTCCAATTTGGGAATAATATAAATAAAATTGCTGTGAACATTGAAGTACAAGTGTTTGTGTGAATATATATTTTGTTCCCCATGGAGGAACACCTAAGGATGGGATTGTTGGCTTAGATGGGAATTACAAGCCTAACACTGTAAGAAACTGTCAGAATGTTTGCCAGGCTGTACCGGCTTTCATTTCTGCCGGCAGTGGGAGGGATGTAGTTGCTCCCAGAACTACCATCCATCCTTCCTTTAAGCTTTTGTTACATGTTTTCATAAAGAACAAAATGCCTTTTAGGGAGGTTAAGAGAAATACGCACATTTGCAGGTGCATTTTTTTGTTTACCTCTGGAGTTATCCTTTTCCACACTCAAATTCTCTACTCCATCCTGAAGGTCTGTGGAGCAGATGTTTGTTCTGGGTCATTTCCCTTTTGCTTAAAGGTGGTAGCATTTCTCATAGTACAGTTCTGCTGATGATACATTTTCTTTATTTTTATTTATTCAAAATTGCCTTTTCTTGCATTTCTTTTGTAAGGAAAGTTTCACTGTATATAAAATTTTAAGTTTTTTTCCCCCTCCATAAAGCTGTTCCGTTTTTTGTCGCCATTGTTTCTGATGATACATTGATAGTTTTTTTTTTTTTTGACATTGATAGTTATTGTCTTATTGCCTCTTATAAAAATGTATTGGTTTTGTTTTTCAGACTGTTTTAAAGATTTTCTTATTTTTGGATTTCAGCATTTTTTTCTATGATGTACTAAGTACATCATTTTCTTTTCCTGCTCAGGGTATATGAACTTTGTGGCTCTGTAAGTTAGTGTATTTTATACATTTGAGAAACTGTTTGCCATTAATTTTCCCCCTTTTTTCCCTTTGTTCTCCTTCACTTCATCCTGAGACTCACAATAAATATGCTGTTTGTCACTTTTTGTTGTCTCATAAATCACTGAAACTTTCTTCACACTTTTCCAGTCTTTTACCACTCATGGTTCTTAGACCAGGTAATTTCTCCTGATCTGTCTTCATTTCTTGTATGTAGGCTGAGGAGTGAGCACCTGGGTTCCGCCAGTAAGATCTGATCTTTCGTTTCAGATACTCCCTGATTTGTTCTTTTGACTGTTTTGTCACTTCTGCTCCTTGTCTGAGGTTTCCATGTATGCATACACTGTGCCTTATTTCCTGAGGGTCTTTGGAGGTCTTCTTAACGGCCACTTTCAGCTCCTTGTCTTTGTGGGCCATCGCATGTTGCTGTTTCCAGCTGCCATTCTCTCTAGACGGAGATCTCCAAGTGTCCTGGTGTGGATGGGCAATTGGTGCTCAGGTCCTGCCGTCACGCCGGGGACCACGGTCACAGCCTCCCCTGCAGGGCCGCACGTCTCTATCCCTTGCCACCCATGGATTCAGAGCCCGTGTTCCTGCTCCTGTGTTTGCCTTCTGTCATGGGACTGCAGAGATGTTTATCTCTTCGGTTTTCCCTTTTTATGTGTTATCTGTGTTGTTGTTCCCCTTTGTCAGATGTCTGTTTTCTCCAAAGCAAGATATTTTGCAAAGTTGAAAAGTATTTTGAATCACTGATAATTTCATCAAAATACTTGAACTGAGTGAAAGTCTTATTTCAGTAATATTTTCATCTACTTAGATAATTTCATGTATACAGTCCCTGTCTGTTCCACATGTTTTTGAACATGGTTATTTACATTTAACTCAAACATACACCTAAGAAATCATTTTCTGAGAACTACAAGCGAATTGTAATATCATTGATAAAAGTAAATGTGCCCAGCAGTACGGAGGAACTTAATTAGACACTTGGTGAAAATGTGCACAGTGCTGTGGTAGATCTGTGTTGTTTCTGGTATTGCTCTGTTCTTTTTTCTCACTGCCTAGTACACTGGTTTTTCAGTAGCATCATATACATGCAAGTGAAGCAATGGCTTGGCTGCTCCATGGACAGAGTTTTAGGAGATTGGAGAGCTGATCATTCACACTGGTTAAGAATTTTTCTTATTTTTTAATTAGATGGTTTTTATATATTATCACACTTAATCACAGCAACCTTGATCCCCACATTTTGGATTTGAAGAACAGTTATTTTCCCAACATGATACAAAATATGAGTGCCAAGATAGAAATTTGAGTCTGAGGTATCTAACTCCAGATTGCTGTTCCTAATTTATTTTCTTTGTTCTTATAAATTTCCTACATGTTCTCATTATAATTATTTTCTGGATAGTCTTAGTTTCAATTTTCTGTTGTGGTGAAAGTTATCTATTTATTAATACTTTTTGCTTGCTTATTTTTAATATTTAAGTTATGTAACAAATTAAAGGCCCCCTAACTATAGCTCTTTTTTGGTAGGCACGAATGTTTAAAATTTTTTATTATTAGTTTTTAGATTTATTGTGCTTCCAGACTGTGTTAACTTACAGAATGTATTGTCTTAATTTTATGCTTAGATTTTCTTAGGTTTTAATAAATAATCACTTTGAAAGTTCATATGTGCTTCAGTCTTATCTCCAGAGGAACAGATCTCTTGTATACTATTCATGAGGCTGTTAAATGGATGTTTGTTTGGTTTTCCAAATATTTTCTATCATTTTTTTATTATTTGTCAAAAGTAGTGGGTTTTTAAATTCTGACATTTGGATACTATTGAAGTCTCAGAAAATAAATATGATTAGGAATTTCCTCTGGTATAAGAGAGTATATTTTTTAGATGATAAATGATAGAACTCCCTTATTCGTAAAATATATTTTTGTAGGCTTTCTTGTTTTTGTTTGGCTTTACATAGTAAATTAAAATTTATGACATTTTGTTAGATTTTAGAAGCAAATGAATTGGTTACATTTCTCTCATGTCTACAGAGATAAGACAATAACTTTCGAGTAAGATATTTTAGATTAATTTCATTTTTGTAGAAATATAAATTTAGTTAAGAAAAATAAAGATGACTTCAGACCTAGAAAAACCAAATTGAACTTTAAGATTTGTCTGTTGCTGCATCATCATCGTTATTATTATCTGTTTTCTTTGTTGCTTGGCTGACGCAGAGGAATCTCACGAGACCACGTTTGTATTAGCGCACGTGTGCAGTGTGGCGATTCCATCTGACCACGTGACGCTGCCGTTCCCTTCCTTTGATCCCCTGCGCCTCCCATCCTCCTCGCACCTCCCCTCTCTCGTCCCCTCCCATTTGCAAATGCTCTATTTCCATTTCTTTACAATTCTTCTTTTCCCAGTCCCTGCCCTTCCATCTTTCTGTCTTTCATTCTGTCTTACGGTATTATCGCTCCTATGTGCCTGATGTTTAACTGAACAATATATCCATTCCCACACACTGACTAATTCTCTCTCGGAACCCTCCGCCTCCCTCCAGCACACTTAGCCCATCATTCTCTCCTCCCGCAGCAGTTCGAACGTCCTCTTTCCTGACTGGTTTGACTTGTGCTGTCCTGGCGGTCTCGACGTCCTGAATAGATTCACAACATTGAATCTAGAATCAAAGAAACCATGAAAGGTCACTGTGCCTTTGGGGAGGAGCCAGAAGTCGCAGGGCGCCAGACCAGTGAATAGGGGGCATGATGAAGACACAGCGTCATGCTTTCAAGAGCTGCCTTCCTGCTGGCTGGCGCTCGGCGGCAGCGTTCCTCACACTTTGATCCCACCTGCTAAAGACCCTCAGGAAAGAGGACTCCGGAGCTGCTGCAGGAAGTGGCAGGAACCATGGGATGCGTGTGTTCAAAGGGAGGGGGAGAATTCCGAGGGGGTCAATGGCAGTGTGTCTTTCACTGTAATCACATTTTTAAATCGTAGATGTTTATATCTACAATATATCCCAATCATGTTGTGTCTGTTAAATATGTTGTCTGTCTGTTTCCCTCGGCTATACCTCTGAGATGCTTGACCCAAGTGAATTTGTCCTGTTTACCTGCCTGTTCCCTCTCCTAACACATGGTTGGAAGGTGCTTGATCCCTGTTTACAGTGCAGCAACAGAAGACCGCTGGCGGCACGAGAGGTGTCAACCGCCGTGCCGCCAGCGAGTGGTACCGTCCAGGGCTCTACCTCAAAGTGAAATGAATTTTGCTTTTTAACAAAATATCTTGTGTTTCTTCCCTCACAGATATCGATGATGTCAAGAAGTTCAAGCCGGGTTACCTGGAAGCCACCATCCATTGGTTGAGATTTTATAAGGTGCCAGAGGGGAAGCCAGAAAACAAGTTTGCTTTCAATGGAGAATTCAAAAACAAGGTAAAGATAAGACTCTATTTTCCAGGGTCCTTCCAGTGCCTGTGCAGTACTTGTTTCCCCTTGACATGCTCTTCGGTGAATATTTCTCTATTTGGCTTCAGGACAAAATGGCTTTGTACTGACTTATGTATTTTAAAGTATTATTTTACCATTTTAAAAATTTGGGAGAGGGGATCTAAATCTAAGTGAATCAGCAAGCCTGAAAAATATCTATTTCTCTCAGCTATGAATAACAGTGCTTCCCCCTTCCCCTCCTCCTCTTCCTCCTCCTTTTTAGAAAATGAAGGAATTCTGTGATCAGTTAACTCTGCAAATTATAGATGAAGAAACCTCTCCAGTCACTAATTTGAGGAGGAAAAAGTTACTTTTACTGTAAATTCTGAGGTCTTCTCTCCTAAACGTTCCTTCTACATGGCTGATCTCAGTTGATTCACAATTAAGAATGCACTTGAATTATCTCTGTCAAAAGATTTCTCTTATTAGATGACCACAGTTACCTAAAATATCTCTAATAAGGTACAGATGGAAAACTGGCCAGAGAGTCAACATCTAAAAATAGGAGCTGATTTTTGAAAATTATACCCACTAAGTATGTTATAGATTCTAAGCCAACTCCTGAATGGGTCCTAGTAAGTATATTTTACAAGTAGAGATAAGGCACATTAATAAAAGCTTAAAATTTGCAGTATTTTGCCATGTAAGAATTGATTGTTGGGCCCAGTATTTTTTGAAAAGTATATTAAAGCACCTTTAATGTCTTGAGGGCTTCATTGAGAATTATTAAATGCAAATATAAAACTTATTTTAGACTGGATTTTCATTAAAATATTAGAAATTCATATAATAAATTATTTTTCTTCAAATTAAGTGTTATATTTTGTGTTTGTAATAATATACATTTCAAACCTTATTGTACTTCTGTGTACCTTTATTGGCTGTAAGTAAGTGCCAGTTATGAATTTATAAAGAGTGAGCTTTCTTTTGTGTTTTGTTTTTGACAAACGTTAATTCTTTTTCGTAAGAAGACCAGGCCATTTTTACACCTCTTCAGAAAATGATAATTTTATGCATTGCTCTTTACCATTACTGTTTAAAATAGGAGAACCTCACTTAAGAAAATGTAACTATAAAAAAAAGAAAACAAAATGTGATTGGGCCTCTTTAATGTGGTTGCAAATGGTTCCTTTGTTATGTTGTGGGGTTTCCCTGCCTATTCCTGTAAGCAGTAACTATAACAGGTTCCAAATAGTCACCATCATTGGAATAATGTGGCTGAAGATCTTTCCCTGCGTTGTCTGGAGGGTCCCTTGCTCTGCGGGTCCTGCCTCTGAAGCGTGTTCCCTAGCGCCACTTCGCTGAGCTCCAACCCTGCTGTCATCGCAGCCAGCGGACCTGGAGATCGTGGGTTCAGGGCCCGAGTTCCCGGCATCACTGGTCCCAGAACATGGGATTCCTCATGTCCTCCACTGTCATAATATGTCCCATTGCCCTTGAAGGGAAAGGCAGAAGTATAAGCAGCTAATAGAGAGAGACTGCCCTAGAGAAAGCAGCAGCATTCTGAGGAGGAACATCAGACGAGTATTCCGCTGTGGAGTGATAAAGCAGTTTTCCGCAGATGTAGAACAGTCTGTTATAACTGTGCAGTGGTAGACATCTTACGAACCGGGACTAAGAAGACGTTGGGAAGTGTTAAGGAGGCTTACGCTTGGCGGTGGTGTCGTGCAGTCCGAAGCTCTGTACGGTAGACTGTCTGCTATTGGGTTGGTGGTGCATAACCGGTCCCTGACGCAGACACCCCCCACTGGAGCCCCTTACACGGAGGGGCAGCTGGGGCTGGGCGGTCAGGTCCCCGCCCGGTACAGCGGGGCAATCAGGAGGCCAGGTGTGACGCTCCACGTGTGGCTCCAGGGTGCTGCGCTGCGTAACTGTCACCGCGGCTTTAGCTCTGGACTCTGCAACAGTGTGACTGCTTTGTCTCATTCTGGTCGGAACTAGGCTTTTGCTCTTGAAGTCATTACATCTGCTCATGAGTGTTGGAAAGCGCTGGTTATGAAGAAGTGCGACGGAGGAGCTCTAAATTGGTAAGAATCTGCCTTTTCTGTGTAAGTGATGTGAGTTTATTATTGCTCGGTACTGGACAGCCATTGCAGATTTTTAAAGGGATTTTAATTCTTTTCCACTGAAGGACGAATGAATTACGGGCCACCCTGCAGTGGGTGTTACCGCGTGCTGGGAGTGGGCACAGGCCCTGTCCCCTCGGGATTGGCATTTTAGCAGGAGACGCTAACAGGGACATAAGTGCTGACTCGACTGCACTGTGAGATGTGCAGACTCGGGGCCCAGCAGCAGCAGCTGCCCAACCGGCAGATATGCGGTTCCTTTATTGTCTGGTAGCCACTCGTTCCTTGATATGAGCAGGAAGAGGCTTCTCATCCAATGTGATCTGCATCATTAACAGGAATCTAACAGGTAACACCCATAACTTCCTAAAATGTAATACTTGGGACATACACTAAAAGTACTTGGATACGTGGGACAAACTACACTAAAAATATTCACTGGAATATTCAAAATATTCAAAATACTCACGTGTGCAGCCTGTATTTTACCTGACACTCCTGTTGAGAAGCTCCTCCGCTCTTTCTCAGTCATTTTCCCAGCAATCGTAAGGACTGCGTCTTGGTATTGTTAAAATATGACAGCACTGTGTGCATAGCGTGTTTTCCTGCCTTTTTCAGAGAAGTAGCCCTTGGGACTTCGCAGGGTCTAATTTTTTGCCTGACTCCTCTCCCCTCCCATCCGCTGCCCCTTTCTCATCAGGGAAGCATCCGACTTGTAGGCCCTACCTTTTTTAACTTTCAGTTTGCTTAAAGGTGAGCTGTAAAGGATGAATACAGAAAAGTCATAGTTTAAAGATGATAGTGCCGGCCTTCATCAAGTTTATTCATGCCAAGAATAAAAATAAGTTCCACATTATGAATCTGGATAGAAACCGAATGACCACTCACTGCAATCATGGTCATCAGTTACAGACTGATGTAGTTTTAAAGGTAAATCAACAAGCAGATGGGGTCTTTTTTAAAAATCACAGGTACAGGGCTGGGGATTTGGCTCAGTGGTGTCGCTGCCTGCCTTGTAAGCTCAAGGGCCCGAGTTCAATCCCCAGTACCCAAAAAAAAAAAAAAAAAAAAAAAAAACAAGG